AAGTGAACTGAAGTTACAGTGGAATTCAAGCTGAGAGATATACTGCCCCCTCCCCTTGCCCAACCATGCACATATTTTTGCATTTTCTTTTTTTATGCATGAGGACTATTCTGAGACTTAAAAACATATAAATTGTGAAAGGACAAGGGAAAAAAAACACCCAATGTGAGGCCTTAGGAGCAGCGTGAGCTGTCACCAGAGAATTTTCCCACAGGACAGAAAGCTCTCCTGCCAAATTTAACTTCTCTTTAGCACACTTTGCTCTTAACAGAAAACAAACTTTTCTGTGACTAGAGGCGTTTACCTTGATTACAGGTATATGAAATAGTGAAATTAGCACTAAAATGGGCAAAAAAAAAAAAATCTTAAATGGCCTCCTCTTTTCTGTCCCCATCCACTAAGACAGAATTACATGTTCTTCCTGAATCATTAACAGATATGGGCACCAAGTCCAAAGCAGTGCAGTTGCTTTCAGTTGGATAACAAGTGTGATTCCTTTTCCAATGGATTAAACTATTGAAAGGAAATGCCTTTGTGTCTTGGAAACTGCAACTACAGTGTCAGGCCTGAAAAAATTGAGGATGTGGGTTTTTTTCTTGGATGGAAAAGAGAATGGTTTGAGAGCCATCCTACATTGAGAACTTCTTTTATCCAGTAGTTAATTATTGCCATCAATCAACAGTACTTTTTTCCTTGGTCCAAGAATAATTTGAAAGACTAAAAAGGAAAATCTGTTAAACCTTAGTTTTGGGTTATAGGGCATTTTCTCTCTCCTTGTGCTATATATATATATAAATCCCCACTATCCTTAGGCCAAACCACAAGCAATATCACTGTATTTCAGGCTTCAATATGAAAATGTTGTACTTGTGTCAATAACACAGATACAAAATGTTGCGCAACCAGAAGTTACGAATATATTCTGTGGGAAACGTATAGTAAGAAATGGTTTCAGTCTTGAAATCTAAAAATTTTGGCAAGATTTGGGGGACTAATCTAGTCAACATCCGGTTTGATTTCTGATTTAGTTTTCCTCATGCTAAATAATGTTTGAAGGAGTAGTTTCGTCCCCCAACCTCTGAGAATGTGCTGAGTAATTGGTCAGGAGATGCTGGTTTCTGATGTATGCCTTTTTATGGAAGTCTAGATATTGGTATGTCTACTTTGGTTTGCTTAAGGCTTTTGATATTGTTTGGGCCTGGTATAGTACAAGAATATAATATCAGTTCTGGTGTCTTTTGACTCTTCAGTAAAGTAATAGACACAAATAACAGATGCTTATCTATGGCACAGGGAACAAAGTAGTAGTCTGTGCTTTGGGGCTAATGGTGATATTCAAATGAGATTTATTTTGGTATTCCTTTGTTCCCACACTGTCATCACATTCTTGTTCTCACTTCACAACCATGTTTTCTCTATTGTCTGAGGGATCCTTCATTTTGCTAAATTTCATGCAAGTTAAATTAATTAGTTATAGAAGGTTTGCTATAAATGCCCTGTCTCATGCTAAATGGCTGCATAGGTACACCATCAGACAAGTCAGTTTACCTGGTTAGAATCTTGTTCATATTCTTTTATCTTATGATCTTTGCCTCGTCATGGTAAGTCTTAGCAGTAGTCAATAATTGAATATAATTATAGGTCATCATTTAACTACAGCTGTTTATTTAAGCAAATCTGGATGGCAAAAATTGTGAAAGTACAGCCCCAAAAGAGGGCTTTGGGGAACTTGAGGATGTCTTGATTGAACACTGCAACTCTGCTGTGCTGCAGGTGTAGCTGTAACTCGAAGAAAGTAACTGATATTGTCTAGCGTGTGACTAAGAGCTCCTCTTCCCATTCAGTCTATTTTTGGACCATCCTGGTGGCCAACACATTGTGTGAAAACAATGTGCCTGTTAAACTGTGTTTTAAAGGAGCAGTCAGATGTCATATCTTAAATTCAAACCCTTGATTTCTTTTGGAGAGTGCACACATTTAGTAAGGTTTAAATAAAGCAAACAAGCAAGCCAAAATATGCAGAAAAAGAAAAAATTAAGTCTATCAAAGCAATGATGCAAGAGCTGGAAAGCATGTAATAAGCCTGCCTGTCTGCTCCCTTAAACTGGCTTTACAAAGGTGGAACAAGCCCACAGAATTACATCGGCATAAAAGCAGCCTTATACTCTGCTTTTTGCACATCTGTTCACAGCATCTGATGAAGTGAGCTTCAACCTACAAAATATACTTTGTGCTATATATATTTTCTACCATACTTTGGTTAGTCTACAAGGTGCAAATCTACCCTGCCTTCTAAAAGCAGCCTAATGAGGTGGAACACTTCACCCCTTACCTCTAGGACAGCTCACTAGTTACAGTGTTATCAGCTAGTAATTCCCTAATGAACATCTTTACAAAGAAATACCTGGGCTAATCCTCCAGCATGTATAAGGGTGACATCGGGCATCCAGGAACAACCAGGCACCACTAGGCCATACAGTGTGATCACGTAGTATGGCACAGAGTAGAACATGTATGCCAGCATCTGCATTTTAAACAGAAACATTAGCTGTTCTGCATTTCTTTCATTCTGGAGTCTCTACTTTGAATACAAGCAGGATCAGTGGTGAACAAAAGTTGCCACCTTATGATGGCTGGTGTGGAGCTCACGTGAAGTATACTCTTGTCTTATTTATTTAAGTGCCAGCAAGGAAGGCATCTGCTCACAGGCAGTCTCAGATGTGAAACCTGTGGCTTCCTTTTTTGCCTCTTCCCCAATCATTTTATAACTTTCCATACCTCATCATTAATTCTTTACCTGAAGTTTGGGATAGGCAGCAGGATCTTTTATATAGGGCTCATGAAGCTGAATATATGACCGGCAGAGTTCAGCAGGACAATCCAAAGCAATCTGAGGAGAAATGTAAAAGTGTGATCCAAGAAGCCATTGCAAACAAATAACCCTGACACTTCCTCTCAGCCCAATGGGCTCTGCAGCTCTCCTCTGTACTGGCACGCAGGAGGCTAGCTTACAGGCCTGAACAGACTAGGTCCATTAGAACTGGCTCAGGGCAAAGGCAGTTTGCTGGGTCACACCAAAGAGGGGCTGCTGACTTCATTATTAAAATATGGTTTTCCTTCTTATTTCCCTCACCCTTCCCACTTCACAAGTCACTTGAAGGGTTCATGGGGCAACACTATAGCCTAGCCTTACTAGAGTTGCATTTGTGAGCTATAATGTGATGAATGTACAAACAATCATTGATTTCCACTGACTATTAGGCTTTAGTCCATTCCATTATGTTAAATGGGATTTCCAAAGGAAATTCTCTTGGTGATATTCCTTTGGTGATAGAAATATTAGGCAAGCATGTGTTTTTTAGGGCAGGATGATCTTACATATGGGTTTACCCAAAAGAAGTTGCATTGCAATAAGGTAATTGTGGGAAGCAGCTGTAACTTCCAAAACAGGTACTGGTATACTATAATGAGGGGGAAAGATTCCTGGGAGAACAAACTTACCAATAACTGTGGAGCGACCTAATTTCCCCACAGTGCAGAGGGTTGCTGTGTTAGGTAACAACGTTCGTTATAACATTTCATAATTACAAATTAAACAGCACTATTTGAACCAGAATTATCAGTCAATTTCAACAGCAGCTGCAATAGGAACTGTCTAAGAAGGCATTGCTGGTGTCCAAATTGCTGACAAGGCCACACTGGGTGTTTTCCAGCAGCTAACTCATCTGGCCTTGGGAAGAATATAAAGATTTCCACTGCACATACCAGTGATATATCTTGGAAAAAGAGATGTTTGGTACGTGAGAAGTAGGTACTTATCTATAATAATGAATTGTCCCTTGCTGGCCAGTTTATAGAGAAGCAATTACCGCAGCCTTAGAGAAAGCTGTTCCTGCCATCCCTGACTCAGAAAATGTCACAGAAACAGTTCCTGCTCTGGGAGAGGAACTGGGGAGCAACACACCCAGATAAGATAAGTCCTGAAAAATGAAGAAGTGGGATTGCAGTTAAACGTTTGGGGAAGAGGTAACACCTCCCACAAGGAAACAGCTGAGCAGCTAAGTAGCCTGTAATACTGGAGCACTGAGGTACCATGAGCTGCAACAAATTGCAGCCAGCAGCAAAATTAAGAACAACCAGAAATAAAGATTCTAGGGGGGAAGCAGGGCAAAAAATATAACTAGAAAGCAAAAATGAAGTAGAAATGCGAGGCAGCAGAACTACATGATGACCTGCAGCAGGCAAAACAAAATGCTGCTGAGATTACTTCTGCTCATGTTACATGAACTAAGGTCTAGACAGGGTCGGTTCTACCAAATATGCAGAGCAGGCAGTTGTCTAGGGCAAGGATGTCAAGCGGTTGGTCTATGCAAACGGCCAGGCTATCTAATGATCTGATGGAACTGGGAGGCATGGTTGGGGGAAGTGGGCTGCTGCAGAACCTGGGGCCCTGTGGACATAGACATCAAGAGCAAGAGGGCAAGTGAGGCCTGACACAGTCTCGATCACCATCTGGTGACACAGCAACAGAAAGAGGGTAGGGTTGCCAGTGTCATGGCCCCACCTACTCAGGGCACATGGTAGTGGCTCCAGCACAGGGCCTGTAGCAGTTTGGGCTGCCACTCCCATATGCTTTTGCTGGATCTGGCTTGCAAAAAGCCCCACGGTGCAGATGTGGTCCAGGGGTACAAGGTGATTTTTCTCACCCCTGGTCCAGGGCACCAAAATAGTGGGTAACCTTTTAAATAACCAGTGTACAATTTCTATTTTGCCTAAAGCAGCAAATACTTTAGAGCTGACACTAAGGATGACCACCTGGGCAATAGTGATCATTACTTGCTGGAATTC